CTGCAGTCCTCCAATCTGAAAAAAGAATAAAAGATGTAGATAAAATCATTGATGATCCATCAGATGTGTTCTGGTTCTGAATGTGCAGATCAACATGACTTTGTCGTCATCAATGAGCTTCTCTCTACAACCAGCACAGTGACTTTGTCCTTCTGTTATTGTGGATCATCATCATGTCAGCTTCTACACACATCATCCAGATGTCAGCACAACATCCATCCAGCTGTTCATGTCCACACACATCAACAACATGCTGCTGACCTCAGTCCACTCTCTCATTACAGGACCAACATCACATCTCACATGTTGGACTACAAACTCTTCATCTTTCATTTATTCCATCACCTTCTTCTTCTGTGTTTGGAGTCTTGTAGCTTTGTCTCAGTGAAATCTTCCAGTGTGTCTTCAGACAGCAGCCACATGTCATGTGTACATCACAGAGGGATTCTGCTTCCTGCTGTCCACACTGACTGTCTACTGCTCTCTTCCTCACACAACTCCACTGGAAGGAATCAGTGGATGAGCTCAGCTCACACTAACATCCAGCTTCGGCTTCTGACACTAATCAAGTGAGCGTCCACCAAAGTCACACGTTACTGACAACTAAAATCCCTCTTTGACTTCCTGAGGCTCCACTGCAGCTCAGCACCAACACTGTGGAAACACCACCATCCTGACTGGATGTGTGGAGCTCAGCCTGCTGAAGCCTCACATCACTTTACATCAGCTTCACATTCACACACACAGCAGGACTGTGGCTTCTGTCCTCCATGTGGGAACACTGCAGTCAGCTGATCAGGGCATTTATTCAACAATCTGAAACATCTTTACATCTGTTTTCAGGAACATCCTCAAAATGTATGAACCATAAAGCAGGATCTGAATTCAATACATTAAAACACCATCAACAGTCAGTGAACTGACCTGAGAGTCTCCAGTTTACAGTTTGGACTCTGCAGTCCAGCAGAAAGATGCTTCACTCCTGAATCCTGCAGGTTGTTGATGCTCAGGTCCAGTTCTTTCAGATGGGAGGGGTTGGACTTCAGTGCTGAGGCCACGACTTCACAGTGACTCTCTGAGAGTCCACAACCAGAAGCTCTGTCATGACACATAAATGATAAAACATGTTATTATGAAAGACACTTTATATTTCCTTCATGCATTTGACAGCAGAACATCTGGACTGGTCCTGTTGGACATTTAGTTCTTCACATCAGTGCTTCGCTGATCTTCTCTGACTGTGTTTGACATCAAACTGAATTCTCATCAGCCTCTCTCACACCTGCACACTTTGAATCTTTCTTTGGTTTCATGTGCAGATGGAGGACAGATGATGGAGCTACATTCAGGCTTCCAGACTGTCCACAGTCTGTCAGTGGGATCTGATCCCACGTCTGAATCCACAAAGACATCAGGAGAACATCTGGATCACAAGAACATGTTGTGTCCTGTTTCTACTGTGACTCAGGATGTTGGACTGAGTGGAGCTCAGTCAACAGTTACAGCTGAAAGATGATGATGTCTCTGCTGTGGAGCTGCTGCTGCCAGCTTCACCTCCATCACTCAACATCTACAGTCTGCTGTCAGACGCTGCACAAACCAAACTGATCTTTGGACGACATCACACCTGAACATCATTAATACGAACATCAGGAAACATTCTGACGTGATGACAAACGACTGCGTCAACTTTTGTCCTCAACGTTCTTTTGTGAACTTCTGAAAAACTTGTTCTTCACAAACACAAAGAACAAACTAATAAAGTTGAATTGTTTCCGTGGAACTTCACACAAACATGTGATCAGGGTTTGTAGCATTAAAAACACAACTCTGATCTGTGCGTGTCTGACATCTCTGGAAACAGTCAGACTTCTAGCGCTGTGCTCTGATATATTCACACCTCTGAGCATCTCCTCAGACGACTCTTCTCTGCAGCAACAAGACACAAAACAGCAGAGTTTCTCTCTGAGGAACTGACTATCGAGAAAGATGTCAAACGTGGACTCTGGAACACGACTTCCCTCTTTGAAATGAACAGCTGAGTTGAGAACCAGTAAAATGCTCCATGACTCAATTCAGAACACTTTGCAGCGTCAGTCTTTGTCTGATCAGCAGTTTGTGGAGCCTCATGTCCAAGTTAACAAGCTTTAGTTTAAAAACACAATGAAATAAAAACAAAGAACTAATTAACTGATAACAGTGACAGAAATAAATTCATCATACAAATTATCCCAAAATGTTGTTTAGAAATGATCCAGATCTTCTTGTAAACTCTGAAGAGCAGTGAAATAATCTGGTAACATGTGTTTGTCTGATGAGATCAGACTGAT